AAACATTGGCCAAGGAATAATATCCAATCCACCTTGATACATTCTTGAGATGAAATTATCTTCACCTTCCTTAATACGTTAAAATATTTTTTTTTTAAAAAGAAAAAACTTGAACCGTACCAAAGAAAAAACAAATTAATAATAGCAATTATACTTCTGAAACCAATTGAGAAAATCTTGACTGAAATTCTTTATGAATGCCATCACTATCGGCATCAGGTACGTCTTTTATTATAATACAAAGTTTTGCCTAAATCATTAAAGAAATTAACAAAACTAAACTTTACATATAAATTAGAAATAAAAGCATTTACTTGTACCTGAAATAATTTTGGATCTTTTTCAAATAACATTGCACCACCTTGAAATTTCTGGAACATTGAAGAAATATCTCTATTTACTGCAAATTGATTCTATTTTAAATTTAAAGGATTCACATGAGCAAAGTTTGTATTGAACGAAAAAAAATAATGCGATATTACCTTAAAGAGTATGACGCTTGATACGACTGAATTAAAAAGTGTTAAAAATAGGTCTAAAAAAAATTCAAAATTACAGTAATATCATGAATATCAGAGGTGAAAGGGTAATTTAATATTAAATTGAAAATTTACCTTCTTGAGGGCTTCTCTCCAGAGAATTTAAACCTTCAAAATCGAGTGCGACATAAAGATATGACTTGGTATTAACTATTTAATTTTTAAAAGAAAAAGAGTTAACTTTTTATACAAGGAAATATAAAGGGTTAATTTAATTTACCTAATGACATCCATACACCCTCAGTGCAACGCTAAATGAAAATTTGATTGAATAATTTCTTCATAAATTAATTAATAAAAATCCAAAAATTAACTTTTACCATTGCAGAGTCATCAAAGGAAGTTCCGACAAGATGATTTAACATGAAAGATTTTCCGCATGATTGTTCACCCATGCTAGAAACAACATTTACTTTTTTATCACTCAAATGTTTGAAAATTCCTTCATACCATCCAAAAGAAATGTTTTCTGCAATATTATTAACATGATGACCATCAAATTCAACATTTGAAAATAATCCATCTCTGAGAGGTTGAAACAAGTTATTACTTGCTACAGCAATTTGTATAGGAATTAAACAACAAAGTTGAATAATCCAATCTCCTAATTTATATACTGATGAATACTTTTGAAAGTTTACATTTTTAATATCAAGTTCCTTGAAAGTAATGACTGATGTAGAGAATTTTTTTTAGGAGTGTTGTGGGCTTTTTTGTGGAATTCTTCAAATTTTCAAAGATTACAGAAATTTATTCCTCAAATTTTTCTTCATATTCTTCGATATTATCACTATTTTCGATACCAAGTACTATCTTCAAATTAAGAGGACGATTTTGCTCAGGATCAACGCAATTGTCAACCGGATATTTCTCAAATGTTAATTTATAGGCATCGACGAGACCATTTAATTTGGATTTTGGTTCAATGCGGAATTCCATCCAGTTATCAAATCCACTTATAGTTTTGAAATTACCAGCGATTTTTAATTTTGTGTCAGAAATAACATCAATCACAATAAATTTTTCTCCCATTAACACTATAAATTCTCCATTATCAACGATTTCTTTAAAGAGTGTATTCTCTCCTTCGATAATAGAATCAATTAACCTCACACGTCCAATTGACTGTTTTTGCATTCGTTTTTGGAAACGATTTTGAGTTTTTTCGAGGGTTATGTTAGCTATTAAGGAATTAAAACATCCATTTTGTAAATCAAGTGACAACAAGTGAGTTTGTAAATTATTAATACAAGTAAATTGCAAGTATTCCAAAGATTGAAGATTTGATGGTAAGTCAACAACTATAAAAGTAACGAAAGCGTTACTTATCAAAAAAAAATTGCTTGTTTTTATATAAAGAAATAGTAAATTAATTTTAAATTACCTTTATTAACTGAACCGCCAAAATTTGTGCAAAAATAAACATAAGCACGGCATATTTCTTTGATGTTGTTGGCATCGATAGAATTATTTTGTTGTACATTATTAAAATTCTCTGTGTCATCAGTAACATGGCTAATCTTATTAATACTATCATCCTTGATTTCTGTAACGCTAACAGAGCTATGATACTCTAATGCTAATTTTTCTTTTACAAACGCTACAATAGATGATCCATCGGGTGAACTTAAAACATTTGCAGTATTTGATGGAAAACTACAAACCGCTGGTCGAAATTGCTTATTAATAAGACTGAAGATACGTGCCTGACCACCTTTTTCAACAAAGCAAAGTTCTTCGGTATCTTTAATAAAAAATAAATGCTGAAGATTTGGAACCAAACTATTGTACCATTGTTTTAACAGGACGTTTGGATTTCGAGCATATAAATATTTTTGTCCATCGTTAAAAGAATAAACATTTAACTAAGAAATGGATATAAATAATCAGAATTTTTTTTAAAAAAAAAACCAAGGAAAAATTAATTCGACTTACCACAAATTTATTTGTATTATATATTGCAATTAATTCCATTGGTTCATTAATTGCAATAAGAAAATTATCGTCCATATTTAATGCTTTGAATGCTTTAAAACTTTTTGCTAACCGTTGAGCAGTATCAAAGTATAATTCAATTTGTTTGTTTATTTTATTGTAAAGCACAATAAGAAATTTGCGATTCTCAAATTGGGATATTTTTCTATAATTTATAAATATATTCAGATAAAGAGATTTTAAAAAAATTTAGAAATCAAAAAAAAAAAAATTAAATTATTACTTGAAATCGTAAATTGCAGGATCAATCTGAAAAGTTACGCCAAATGGACCAAAAATATTATATGAAAGCAAAGTTGGATTTGGAATATAATGCTCTTCATTACGAAGTTGAAAAGTATCCGACTCTTTTAATGATGTTTCATAAATTGTTATTTGAAGTTGATCTGGCTCAATTACTTCAAGCTTATGATTGAATAAGAAAGAATCGCATGACGAAAAATCATTAGAGTATAAGTTATATACTAAAAGAATATTTAATAAAGCGTTAATAAATCGTAATTGGTTACTTATAAAGATCATAACTTTTCACCTGCTATGCGCAATATCTTCATCTGCATAGTTCTAAAAGAATTTTTTATTTAAAAAAAAATAAAATTTATTTGATACCAAATTAATAATTAATATTTAGTTAATCAAAGACTTACCCATTATTTTGATATTTTTCTTCTATCTCATTGCAAATTCTATTGAATTCACGAGATTCAATTTTTTGTAGCTCTTGTCCAAATTTTTCGCTAAAGTAAAGTTTTAATTGTTGAAAGAGAGAATCATCTTTCAGAATTTTTTTAACGTTTTTAGATAGAGAATTTCTCCAAATTTTGTATTCTTCAAAGAAAACTTCTGCTAAGCTTTGTCCTTCTTCTCGAATAAATGGAGAATCAATAAGTTCTCGTACAAAGTTTTCATCTGATATATTCTTGAAATCAATAAGGTCTTGTACAGAATTTACATCCAGATTTTTGGACTTTATAATCTGTTGAACAGAATTTATATCTGATAGATTTTTAGAAGAAAAAGGTCTTGAATTGATTCTATATCAAGCAAATTGTCGGAATTAAAAAGATGCAATACAAAATCTATAAAAGGCATATTACTAAATTTTTTAAAAGAGAGACGATAAATGAATGATTTTTGATCGGTTTCTTCGAATACATTATAAAAAACTTGTATTGCAGATTCTTTAGTCATTTCCAATATATCAAAAATAATTGTCGAAGTTAAAATATATCGACTTTTCAATTTATTCCAATTTTTGGAATTGATTTTAGTTACTTCATCAATTTGACCTTCTAAATCGGGAAAATTTAAACGGATTCTTTCTAAATCTAAATTAAAACATAAACTGATAAGGATAATAAAATAAATACAAATAATTTTGAATGATAAATATACTTAACCCTTATCGCTTATATGAATTATATTTTCCCGTGAAGGCGTAATTTTCGCAAGTTTACTTTCAAACTCTTCAAAAGGCCTATAAATACATAAGTATAAACAATAAACAATTAATGATTAATTTCGTTTTTTAAAAAAAAAATTGAAATATATACCTATAACGATCACGTGATTTTTTCCATGCCAAATTTAAAATTATTTCACTATCCTTTTTCATAATTTCAATTTTTTGTTTCTTTTTTTCTTCATTCTGTAATTTTGCAGCTTCTATTTCACTATGATATGGTACCAAAAGTTCATCTACCATTTTTAATCCATGTATTATCAGAATTTCTAATGATTTCATGTCCATACTTTCACGATCAATATATAATCGGCGTCCTTGTAATCTGGATTGAAGTAGTTGTGACATTTCATCTCCAGTAACAATAGGTGTAAAATCTTTAAAACGAGAATTCTTCTTTATTAATCGTTGGGTAACAAACGATTGGTTTGTTGCAGATTCAACAACTAATAATAGGAATAATAATCAGATTGAATAAGTATATGCTAAATACAATTAATCATACTATTTATTTTTAAAAATTAATAAATTATTACTAATAGGATGTAAAGGTACACCATCTTCTTGAGTATTTATTAATTCAGCTTTTATTTTACTGGATAAATCCACCTTAAAAATTGAATATTTAGTTATTTTACAAGTATTTAATGTTATAAATAGCATAAGTTAGCTTAGATATAAACCTTAAAGCCGGAACAGAATTTAAGGTCTTCCTGTACTTCCTGACTTTTCTTGACTTCATATTCATGAAACCCTTTATCGTCGTCTGAACCACTATCGGTATTGTATAAATTCCAATCGAAACTTTTTTAAATCTTCATCACTCATAAGGCAAAGCTGATGATCGGTAACCTTTGTCAAATATCTATAGGTTTTGTAAAATTAAAATTTAATTAAAATTTAAACATTTAGAACTAGCCTGCTGAATAAATAGATAATACCTATGTAGGTTAGTCATATTCTTTTTACATTGTGAAGGAGTATTTTCCTCGTAACATCCTACTTCGGGCCAATGAATAACTAAACCAAAATCTGAATTCACAACCAGTAAATAAATACCAGGACGTAAATTTGAATTGTCGATAGAAGGCTGCGAAACTATAAGCAAGTCATATCTAAAAAAAAATTGCAAAATTAAATCTGATTTTGACTATTGGAATAATTTTTAATCATGCAAATTTTGCATACATTTCTTGATCAATAATCTCTAAATTCAACAAGAGTTTTGAAATTAAATGGCGATTTCCGTAACATCCAATAAGGCGAACAGAAATTGAGTTCAATTCTGCATAATTGATTTCAGAAATAGATTTAAAACTTGATGGAACTATATCATCGCATAGTTTCTTTATAAACTCCTTGGAGATAATCGTTTTATCGACTAAAAGATTATGTAATGCCTTTTTGAGCAATAATAATTTATTCAAAATTCAAATTCACAAATCATGTAAAGAAACATACCAAGACCATTCGAACCATCGTCTTTGCATAAGTCTAATAAACGATATAAACCAGGAATACGTACTATCAAGTCTTTACATTCGGATGCATTCTTTAGTTGGTCTATACCGGTTGAAATTACGTTTTCTGACTTCTTTCGTTCTTGATGTTCATTGGATAAAGATTCATTAGCTTGAAACTTGCGAATAGTTTCACCGTCTTGTTGACCATATTGCTTTTTCCCTGAATATTCATCTGAAGAACTAGAAGGATCGTTTGGACATAAGTCAATTGGTGGTTGTTGATTTGCAACGTTATCAGGTTCTACTCCTCTCGTTGACGCAAACGTCTGAAATTCTTTGATAATGTATGGGTATGGGAAAAAATCGATTATTTACAGTATAAATACATTTTCTATGTTCCAATTTTTCCATTTTCTCCAACATTATCCCATGACAACACTGGTCATTACGGCCTCATTTTCAATTTAAATATCTCCGATATATGTAAAAAAAATATATCCTTCAAAAATTTTGTTGCTCAATAATTATTGAAAATTCTTGGTTGCCAGGTTTTTTTCTTGTGAAATAATATTCTCTCGCTTAGTTCACCTTATTCAAAATTATCGAATAAATTCTTACCCGAATTATCGGTAGTATTGTAAACATGCATAACGATACGATGTTACGAAAAAAAAAATATTATTTACCCTTCATTATATAAATACTTTCTGTACATATCTTTCCTTTTTGGATAAATTATATTGTTTTAATAGTTACACACAATGGATATGCCTTTTACGGAAACAAAAAAAAAATTACATCCATCAATGACGATTATAAAAAAGTTTGAATTTTCAGATAAAATATAACATTTGTGGCAATACTCAATATTAACGCTATTGAGAAATAAAATTACCTTTTGTTCTTATTAGATAAGTCTGAATGCGGCATAAATACTTTTGCAATGCGAAACCATGCCATTTTACCACAATTTAAAATAATAATTTTTATTATCCGGTATCCCGTGATTTTTTATAATTAACAATGACTATAATAAATCGTTTATCAGGCAAAAAATCGTTTATCAGGCAAAATATCATTATCAGACATTTAATAACTTATATTAAGAATTATTTGTATTAATAAAATTACATTTAAAACTAATTAATTATATATAGTACAATTTGTATAATAAGTTTTATTTAT